TGAGCGATTTTAGGCTGAGATCTGAGATCTAGTATGAAACTTTTGATTTTCGATAACTTTTTTATTTGATGTCTGATTGTTGCTTTCTTTCTTTCAGATGGCAAATATAGTAAACAATTTTGTTCTTAACAGAAATTCCGGCTACATCGCCTAAAGCCCTTTTCAATTTTGCAATTAGTTGAAGGTTTTAAGAAATTGAACTCTTAGATGGTGTACATGGCATTCAATGGTATATGAATAGCAAAAATCGAAGTTAAGCAAGTGGCTAAAGAAGGCGTCAAGAAATATAACTCTCAGATGGTTCAGATCAAGGCTATATCGCTTAAATCGCATTTCCTTTGTGAAAGTAGTTGATGAAGGTATCGAAAGAAATGAAAGTTTTGGCAATATGAGAGCAGTTATCGCAAAGAAATGAATCAATTTTATAGCTGCTTGTTAGTCTTAAGTCTTTTAGCCTGTTTTGCAGAGCACTACTCTCACTATCTCTTTTATCTAGTCGCATCAAATTTGTAAGCGGAATAATTATTGATATGATTCACACTTGTTGGCCACACAGTCGACACTCCCCATACACGATGTTTACTACAAACAGAATATGCCCCTCTGCCAGCTGTGGGCATGGGGTTTGGCAATGCAAACAAATCACCAATCACAAATAATATTGTTTTTCTTCGAGTGTGTGTATGTGTGTGTTTTCTTTTGCTCTGGTGTGATATTTAATATTGTCGCCCACACACACACACACACACACTCATGTTAACAAATTTGTTTACGACTAGCTTCTCATCAGTCTTCTTGCCGCATTCCTCTTAATACCCGCCCTTAGCTGACATATTGGATAACTTTCGAGGCAATCATTTTTTTTTTTTTTTGAGCATATGTAAGCAACAAACTTGAAAAAGAACACACTGCTGCAACAAAACTGCCATCTAGTTGAGGTATTTGATTTCATTTTAGATATAGAGAAAGCATACGCTTGGATTTGCTTTTTAAGTTTTGTAAAATGTGCTGAAGCAACAGGCGGCCAGCCAACTGTGCGTATACTTAATTTTGACCAAGTTCTTATCCCACAATTATGCGCAAATCGAGCGTATCATTGGACCAAAGTGCCTGCCTCTTTGTTGCGAACTGAAAGTGTACTCGGAATCTGGCCTGTTCGAGCATAGCTTGCGCATAAAATCGAATCATTAGTTCACAAATCGCAGCTCATCAAAATGCAAACAAGCCGACAAACATGTCAAAATGTTGCAGTCGGCTGCAACCGACTGTTTAATACACTTTCAACGTAAAAAGAACTGATAACATTACCATTCTTAAGTTTAATTTAAATAGTTTTCATTCAAATTGTTGCTCAGTTACGCCCACAGTGGGCGTATACCATCAGATCTTAAGACTATATATGATGCGGGCACATATGAGTAAATGCTTAAAGTTCATTGGAATAGCATGCTGAATATTGCCTCAAAGCTCATATACCCTTTTCACTTTTTGAATGCGTGTATAACAATCTAAGCTGATAGATACACATGCATACACATGCGTAGTTTTGTCATTGCCAAGAGTCAAAGATAAAACATTTCAATTAAATATTCACTTTTTAAGGGGTAACTAAAAGTCGATTTTCATGCAAATCGAAGGCATACAATTAAGTACGCTTTGTTATAGCTTAAGTTTTGTAATTGTCAAGAATGATGGAGAAAACGTTTAAGTTAACCTCTTTCTTTTTTAAAGGGTAACTCGCAGTCGTGAGTAAATGCCTTTGTAGGTTTAGTTTAGTAATTCCCAAGAATGAAGGCTTAAACGTTTTAGATACACTTATTTTTTTTAAAGGATAACTCATAGTCTTTATCAAATTCCTCGTATTTGCATGCGCTTACAGACTCGTTGGACTCGAAACGTTTCGTGTCCTTGTTGCCAGCTGAATGAATATGAAATATACACGCTGATCCCCGACTTTGGGGCGTCTCTCCCTCTCCCTCTTTGTCTTTCGCTCTCTTTCTCTCTGGCTGCTGCTGTTGACTGAATATTATCTAGATGCGAATATGATGTGATTATGTTAATAAGACGCCGCCTTAACGCTCTTAATGACGTTGGTATTTAATAATGTTTGGGTCATGGCTGTGCAGCAGTCAAGTACCAACTGCGCGCACCCATTATCCCAACTAAGAGCTACTTAAACCAACAGAGAGATTCATCCCAGCTCAGTTCAGTTCAGTTCGACTCTGTTCTGTTTGTGTGTTGTGTGTGTCACATTGTCGCCTCGGAGTGCGTATAATTGTTATGATTTTGCTTTTTATGTACTCACAAGTGCTTGTACACTTAGAATATTTTCATTTATCAAAACATGCGAATTATTTAATGAGAAAATATGAAAACAAATTGGTCAAATGTGGTCTCCAAATCAGGGTTGTGAACACAACAAACGTTTGCGCTGGTTCAGTTCCTTGGCTTAAGGCTACATTCGTGAATTTTGCTAAAGGCATCTGCGAACAAAATCTTAAGAGTTTTGCAAAAGTTTTCTAATGCCACCTATTCGTGGGTTTGTGGCAAATAAAATGTTGAAATTCCAGACTCAAATGGGTTCGACTAAAAAGTAGTTCAAAGAATTGGGTAGGGTTTCATCGAGGGCTTCAATTTGCTAGATTAGAATTCACTCCATTTTGGTCCACATAAAGCGATTTATTCCTTCGGAACTATTTTATGGCTAAATATGATTCCTAAAAGGCAATTTATTTTTCTAGGTGTAGCACTTTGTCAAAGTATGTCCGCCCGCTAAGGCTGTTGATGAGCTGGCCATCATAAAGCTGAATGTTGCTGACATTGTGCTGACGTTGAGAGTTTCTCGTTGGAAACTGGTCAAAGGATTTGGGTAACGCCACGTTTGTCAAAGGTCGCCAGATGACCCCTGCCTTTTATGGAGCTCATCCATTTGATTTGCGCGCCTAAGTAGACAGCATTTTGTCTGCCATTCGAATCAAATACCGGAAAAAAACTCTTTCCGAAGATGCCATAAAATGTTGCTACGGCTGCCGGTTGCTGCCGGCTGCCGGTTGCTTTCTGGGTTTTGCCACAACAAGGCTTAAGTGAAATGAAAACCAATGTACCGTGGACGCACGCACACATACACACACACATACACACACACACACACACACACACACACACATACACGCACACATACACACACATATATAAACAAACACTTACACCGCATCCTGCGGTATCCTTGAGAGCAATCTGCTTTTATGCTTACCTAGAATATTCGATATTCGTTGCTTGCTTTAATGGGTGCCAACTTTTCCATTAGCAAAGTTAATGCAACACGCAACCGGTTATAACTTGAGCGACTTGAATCGCTAATCTCTTACACACAAATACACACACGCACACTAATCCATACGCATTAACACACACACACACACACTCGCACACGCACGCACGCACGCAATGGCCAGTATGTGTTCCCTTTTCTCTGCATGCGCTGATTGACTTTTTGTAGCATACTTTTTTGGGCTGCTTTGCAAAAGTTCATTTGATTCTTTTGCTCGCTCTTGAAACTCCTTGTATCACTGCATAATGAAAAAATTATTGTAAATACCATCTCCGTCCCGAAAGCTTTTTTTTTACGAAACAATTAAGATTTTGCTCAACGTTGAATAATATTTATTTTTCTTTTTTTTTTTTTTTTTTAATTTGTCTACAAAGTAAACAAACATTTAATTTGATTGCATCCTTATGAACGTCTAAAATTTTGTTTGGCTTCCAACTGATTTGATTAAGATCATAATTTATACTTAGCAAACTTTAAGGAGGTCGGGGAAGGGGCTAGAAACTTGTGGACAAATAAACTGCAGGCTACATTCAAGGTTTCACTTACTTGCTTCATATTTTATTCGTTTTATTCGGTGGGCATCGCTAAAGTGTGCTTACGTATTCAACTGGCAGTGGGAAGCGTCTAAGAAAAAGAAAGTCGAATATCTATATTCTGTATAGGTTCATATCTGTCCGTTTGTATGTAGGGTGTGTTCTCTAAGACTAAAACTATATATATATATGTGCTATCTGGTACTTTTATCGATAAGTAAACATTTTAACTACGCTTTTGAATATCGAAAAGTTTTTAAAAATAAAAATAAAAAAAATATAGTATCGATATTTTACAATCGGCGGGATGTCGATTTTTATCGATTATAAAACATCGATATTTATCGAGTGAAAATTAATGATATTTATCGATATTACAAAATCGATAAATATCTATATTATATAATTGATAAATATCGATATTCTTTAAACAATGTAAATTCGATAAATATCAATACTTTATATTCGATAAATATATATACTTTATTATCGATAAAAACCGATAACCAGCCCCACTTCATTAGCTACGTCTTTGACTATCAATAATTCTTAATGTATAAAATGGATATTCAGCTCTTCTTTATCAAGATATCTAATTAATCGGAAATTACAAAAATCGTAACGCTAAATTCGAATACAATCGATTTTGAGCCCCCTAAAAAGTTAATAAATTCTTGTTGTGCCAGGGTATATTCTAGCCGGGCACCATCGACTCGTAAAAAGTCTGAATTTAAATTAATTAAGCCGACTTAACATCATTATTTGCATTTGATATAAATAATAAAATGAAAAAAAAAACAGGCTGACAACCAGGTAATCGCAAATGCAGCATTATTATTATAGCTATTAAAGATATTACAAGCATATGTAATGTATAAACAGCCGTCTGTCGCCAGTGCTCCGCTGGCAGATACCCTGTAGCTAGGTCTAAATAATGCCTATAGTATTAGACATAAAAATATGCGATTATACTTAATAGGCTTTTACGTGATTCTACAGGGTATGAACGCGTAATATACCTTTATTTCAGTGTGTGTGTGTGTGTATTGTTTTTCGATATGCTTGTAATTTGTCATTTGCTCTTTAACGGTTCAATTTGTTCATGTCGTTATTTTCTGTTTTGTTTATTTATTTAGATTTTTTACCACTTTTTGCTGGCGCCAGTAATTTGCATAATTAAAGCCGTCGTTCAGATAGTGAAATAAGATAACGAGCTACAGGTAAGTCAGTCTATTTATAATGGAACGATTTGCCATTTGCATTGCAAATTTATATACTTATATTTGATTTTTCGAGCTGTTAACAAATTTATACGCCTCGCACATGCGAGAAATGTGGCCGGGTTTTGGTGGTTATTTTTGAAATAAGCATTCCATTGGGAATTTCTAAGCGATTCAGGTTGTTTGGGACAGATTATTTCGGGCTGCCAACAAACAGATGACAACATGTGGGCGAGCAATAAAAACAGCGACGATAGTCGTAAAGTTAACTATTTCTATGCACATAAAACAAAACTAAGTAGCTACGACTAAAGTGCCAGAGCAAATTTAATGACACTCCCCGTTTGCATAGACTGTTCGAGTATGTTGTAAACAAACTAATCAAACCTGATGCGAATGACTGCACATTAAGTACATTCAGTTCTATGAGCATTGCACTTGTTCTCTCTCGAGATCTTGTGAAATGTCGTCATGGCTTATACACATATATTGACTATTAAGATCCATTGATTGAGCCTACTCAATTTGTCTTTATTAGACTTACAAACTAGCCATCTAACTTTTATAGGGTTACACTCGAACGAAAATGACGTTTGCTTTCTGACATTTCAAGTACAGTTCGCTCTTGAATATTCCCAAAGTAAATGAAGGAGTGAAATAACTAAATGGGAATGAGCACAAAGTACTTAAAGCTAGAATCTTCAGGCAATGAAATCGATTTCTGACATCAAGTAGTGTATTTAGGTCGGAATTCAGATAAATTTCTTGAAAAGGCATTTCACTGTCAGCTTAAGACATTTATACTAGATTTTCTTAACCATTTTATTTGATTTGGCCACAACTTTTTTCGATTTTTCGCTGAGTGTAGCATCGCAATATGCTTATGCAGTGTCCGTTCAGCAGCCCTTGGCTAAACTCTTCCTTTGGTTATAATAGAGGATGAGATTTGCTCGCTATGCCCTTCTTATACGCTGTACTTAATAAAGGGTAGATGTCTTTGTATGGAACAGGCAGGAGGAGGCTTCTGCGAGTCCTTATGGTACATATATTTTTGATCAAGATGACGAGCAGAGTTAATTGATTCTGTATGTACGCGTCGATAACAGCAGAATGCTTGAAATTTACTATTTGTTGATATCTTTCCACATTTCTATAAGATTGGACTATAAATAGCGTGGGGAAAAAGAAGCACATTCGCTGCGTGCATTTGTGTGTTATGCTTATGCTTATACAGAATGAAGCTAGAATTTATGCAACGAGAGCTTGCCACGAATTCTTACCTGTTTTACCTGGATAAGCATGTTGCGTGTAAATGACAGACCTCTTGATACAATAAACAATTGTCTGGTAAACCGAAAGTTGTGCAATAATTAAGATGCGTCGCAGAACACAGGACAATGCTGCGCTGGAAGTTACGTCAATTTATGTGCTTGTTTTAGACAGCTTTGCTGTTGCACGTTGTTGTTGTTGTTGTTGTTGTTGCTGTTGTTGTTGTTGTTGCTGTTGCTGTTGTATCCGCAATGGCCATAAAGTGTATCAGCTCGGGTCTCATACGATATGCACACGTGCCATAGTGTGTGGCTCATGCAATTTGTGCCACTTGACTGGGCTGGAGGTCGTTTGGTGGGGTTTGCGTGGGGTAGGGTGGGTATCCCTGCCGACAATTTCAATATGTGCAGCTCATGTCAAGCCGAAAATCTTTTTATTGCTGCAAGTCATAAATATGTATGTGGGTAGCGTTTGGGGGGCTTTCATATTGATGAGCAGCTCTAGACAGCTTCAAGCGATAGCGAGCTATCAGCATGTTCTAAGTGCATTTCAGCTTCTCTCCCCGCGACTCACACTAAACACCGCCCTCTACAATAATTTGGCCCCTGGCAGTGAAGGTCAAATAAAGCTGTAGTTAGTTGGATTTACGTCAAGAGCTGCGTAAACACTCTTCGTTAAAATGGCGAAACGGAATGCCGGGAAAAAGTTTAGCTCGACCAGCCAATCTGTCTGTCAAAAAGCGCATTTGTCAGTCTCACATCAATGAATCTGGCGGATCTGCCTTACAAACTTTCAAATTGTCCGAAAAAGTTCACCACTCAAATTGTGTGCATTCAAAAACAGACTTTCTACACATTTGGTAGGGTGTGAGTGTGTGTGGCAGTTGGCATATGCTGCACAAGTACACTCAGAGAAATGAGGGTTACTTAACCTAGTTACGAATCGTTGTCCGAAACTAAAAACTCAATTCGTATTAGCTTAGAGTCAGCCATATATAAACTAATTTTCATGTCAAGACGGGTTTGATGTCATGTTTTCAAAAAAATTGGCAATATTTCTAATTTGGAAACTTAATGTATTTGCTAAATTTGCTAAAAAACTAAGAATTGGTACGTAAATTTAAAGAGTTCTTAATATTAAGTTAAGATATGAAAAACCAAATTCATGTTTCAAAAAAAGGCCTAAAAACTTGCGACTTAATTTGAGACACCTATCAGGATTTCAGCAACTTGAAGCAAGGCTTACATTTTAAAAACATTTAAAAACAAAAGACAAGGAAAACGCTTCGAAGTCGTTTCTTATTATATTAGAGCTGCATTTTTTCGCTGAGTGTATGTACTTTCCGTTTATTATGTTCGACATATTTTTTATTTAGCCAAGCTCAAGAGCTACTCTCTTCGAGTTTTATAAAACTGCGGCAAGTGGCAACAAACTTTAAATAATATTTGCAACCGCTTTCAAGCTAAGCAGCTGCAGCTGCAAAAGGATGTCCTTCCAGGATATGCGAAAATGCTAACTGACACACACACACACACGCACACACACACACACGCTTGAGCATAGGAATATTGCTAAGAAGACGAAACTAACCATGACAAATATTCATGACAGCAAATGTTTACACATGTATCTTGGCTTGCTCTAGAACTTTTAAGGAGAAGTTAAATAGCATCAGAAATGTAACAAATTCTTTCAAAGTAGCAAGAACCGGGCTCTAAAGTCTGGTTGTTAAATATTTGAGTGCTATAGCTGAATAGCTTATGAATATATTCCCTGCAGGCTCAAATAGAAAGGGGTAGCATAATTTGAGCTTATATTCTAAACAACCTTGAGGACTTACTATATGAAGAGGATGAATGGCATCAAGAAATGAAATTTCAAAGAAACATGCACTAGGGCGATTGGAGAAACGGCTTTAAAAGTCTGCCTGGTACATATATGAATGCCAAAGGTGAATAGTTTATGCATATATATTCTTTACAGACCTGAATAAAAAGGTTAGCATGATTTGTGCTGATGTGTTAATGCTGTTGGTAAATGCTTATAACTATATTCATCATCATTCAATATTCATCATTCATTCAATATATATTCTGTACAGATTCGGATTTGTGCTGATATATGTACGGATACAGATCCGAGCGCAACAAGTGGAGCCTTGAGCTTCGGCATACATTTGTATGGCATATTTAAGCCTTGAAAATTTCGACTCGATCGGACTTTAAGCACCGAGTTCATCGAGAATGCATTGCCCACACATAGCATGGGTCAAAGGGAACAACACGCATATATATGCAAGGAATCAGGGTATCTTTCAGTCGTGCATGTCCGATTTATAAAACCACTCAATTGCTGTCAAATGCTTGAAATGTTTTCTATGATATTTGCTGCATATAAGTATATGACAGTGTCGGTCCCTTGAATGCTTTAGTGAATCGCTGCCGCAGGGTTGTTCGGCAGAGTTGCCATAGTTTCGCACATTTCACAGCAACTAATTGGCATCCACTTGAATGAACAATTATATTTGTGTGTTGGAGTTTTAATAATAACCAATTGGTTAGCTACACTGTGCAGCACAATTGAGAACACGGCCGGGAAAATATATATATTCTAGTTATTTATTTATTTTATTTTTTTTTTCGAAATTTGTTTATGAATTCATATCTAAACAAAACTAAAATGTTTTGAGTTAATGGATTCGGGTTATTCCCATAATCAGCATATGGTATTTAATAAACATAAATTCTAGCACTCAACTCAAGCCATGAACTTGTTTGGCCTCTCTCGCAGGAGGGAACAAGTTGTGCTGGAATACCCAAATGACCGAAGAGAAGAAGAAGACGACCATCAAACAATTCTTATTTAATTGTGTGTCGTAATTGGATAATTAAAAAATCCATAAATTCATATAGGCTTAATGGGTTTTGATACTTTTTGTCGGTTCATTAATTTAAATACTATTTCTGTTTTTTTTTTTTTTGAAGCTAATCGCATTATAAACGGGTGTGAAATGCTAAATGAAATATTGCACTTTGTTGCTTATCTTTGATAGAAAAAACTTGTTATTTTGTTTAGTTTTTTTTGATATTTTTATTTTTGTATTCTTGTCGAACTAATAACTAAATGCAATAGGCATAAAACACAGCAAATGGTGGTCAACGGTTTGGCTTGCGCTCAGGTACTTTTAGAATTGGCGGGGCACAAAGGTGTTGGGATCGATGAGCGTGGCCACCTCCCAGGGATACACCTGCGACGGTCCAGGAAAGCGACTGTTGTAAGCGTCTGCAAAATGCAAAGGACATGATGCACAGGTTAGCCGAAGAGAACTTCACTTGAAAATTGTGGTCCCAAACTTACCTATTATCTTGTTGATGGCCGTCTGTGCGTCCAGTAGCTGTGCTGGAGCTGCATTGGTCAGGACTAGGCAAACGGCGGCGAACCAAACCAAAACAATTGCATAAAGTTTCGACATTTTTGGGTTGATGCTTCGTTGCTGTTGATGCTTCGTTGGGACTTGTGCCAAGTATAGTTAGCCAAGTCGCCGCAGCCGCTATTTATATCAAGTTGATGCCGAGAGAAAGATGCCGCCAAGCGTCGGCCATGAATGGGAAAGCCAAAAGCCGCAGCTCACAGCTGTTCGGAATTGATTTCTTGTTTCCAGACGCCACAATTCATTTCGATGGCGTCTACGCAAATATGCGGGATCTGCTCCGATATATAATCCTCCCGCCCGCCACACTCAACAAAAAATAAGAAGATAAAAAAAAAAAAAAAAAAAAAAACAGAAAACGGGTTTCGCTAAAGAACAAACGTGCTCTGGGAATATCCAATAGCATAGAAAGTAAACAAATCGTGCGACACAGCATTATATTAAAATATTTCTACAAATATTTGTTTGTTTTTTTTTTTTTTATAATATTAATTTATATGGATTTGCTGCTACATCTTTTCAATTATGTACACAACATATTTTTTCAGTTTTTTTTCTTCTTGTCTTTGGGGCATATTGGAGCCTTTGCATAAGACGGGTTTTTCGGTTCATTGTACGAAACGCCGATGTTATTCGGTTATTCGGTTATTCTTTTTGTTTTGTTCTGGATTTTTGCGGTTTGGTTTTTCCCGCCGCCAGCTTTTTATTTGATGTCCGGCGCCGCGTCGAGATCAAAGACCAAAAATCGTTTGATATTGCGATTTTGTCGCCTTTTGTTGTGGATGCTGAATTCACAAATAAACCGGTTCGCTTAAAGAAAGTAAAAACTTTTGTCGCTGCGTTTCATCTATTAATAAAATATATTCTAATTCCCATTGGTCAGAACTAACCGAGAAAATGACAAAGGTCGAGCAAAGGGCTTAGCATGATATAAACACAATCTTTTTATATGATGTTGTTTATAATATTGTTTTTCTTTCATAACAACAAGGTATTCTTCTTTATACCCAATCTATTATAATTTGTTTTTGTTTTTTTAATAACATGATACTCTTCTTATGTCCCCCAATGTATATACCCAGCGCATTGTATCAGTTTAAAGGAAACCAAACTCTCGGGCTGTTGGCTTTTAAAGGTCCTTCAGGCAGCTGAAAGTGGTAACAGCTGCAGGGCGACAAGCTGCCAGTGTGAGTGTGTGTGTTGTGTGTGTCTTTTGTGTGTGTTTTGGTTTTTGTGTGCAGATCCAACTGTTTGCGAAATCCATACGCTTTTAGGCATATTTGACACGCTCGCTTAAACATGCGCCAAAGTTTGATTGGAATTTGCGTTTTTAGCATATGCCTCCACCCAGCCCCCTCCGTCTATATGTGGGCTCCATCAAAGACATTGTCTTCAATATAATGTGCGTTATGCTAATACAGACACGTGCCAGCTTGACTAAATTGTCAGCATCCTAATTGATTGAGACAAATGCGAGACGAGCTCTGACGACAGCACAGATGAGCTCCCACTCCCTCTCCCTTACTTCTTCTTGTACTTGTTGCTGTGGCTGTGGTTCATGGGAATCGTGTCTTGATCTGACATATGGGCCCATGGTATATGAATTGTTCATCGAGTACGCGCTTCTAATGAGGCGGTCGTGCAGTGAAATAAAGCTGCTTATCGCACTGTTTATTAGCCGGCAGTTATACAATCTAACCCCGCTCGCAGCCCGCAATACGCGTATCCTTCCGCTTCTCGTGAAGCACCCAGCATACTTGACAGAGCCAATTTTAATAATGAACATCAACGAATTCCCAGGCATTACTTTCACATACATATATGTGTGTGTGTGCTGGATTAGATTAGGCGAAAGCCGTTCGAAAAGTTACAGAATTGATGTAAGATAAATGAGGGCTACATTTAAGCTAAATCGAAATATAATTTATTCTTTAATTAATTTAAAATGCTTGACTCATAAAAAACATGAAATGTGTGAAACTCTATCCGGTTCTTGCATTTAAAACAATCAAAATTGATTGTGAATAATAAAAGATAAAATAAACAAGCACTAATATTGCAATTTTGCGGTTGGGTTTGAACCGGCGACTTAGATACCAATGGCCTTTCGGCTCGTGACGTCACGTTTGCACAAAGCACAAAGCTGCCGAATTGATGGCCAACTCAAAGGAATGCTTTGGTATAAATTCTCAAGCTCTTACGTGTCAATCAGAAAAAAAAAACTCTTTTGTATATATATAATTACAGTAGAAGCTGCCCTCGGGCCGTGTAGATAATTTGTGCTGTGTACAAATTTAGTAAAGCACAAAATATTTGTGCTTGGGGTTGTATAAAGCATACACACACACAAACACACACACACACACACATTTACACACATAAACAATAACAGCAACAATGAAAGCCTAACACAATAGGGACAAAGGCAGCAGCTGAGCATAAACATATTACCCCGAGGGTATTTTCAAATTATACGCTTATAAAAAAAATAGCTTGTTGATGGCGCTGCTCTTTATATTTTTTATAATTTTTTTTTTTTTTTGTTATTTTTATTTCCTTTTTTATTATGTATGCACTTGCAGCCGTTGCGCATACGCCCCGTGCGGGCGAACCCCCGCAAAGGATTATGTGTGGAGTCAAGTAATTTGTGGAATGAATATAAAGCTCAGCCTATTTACAAACGATCATTATTGCGATGCTCTAGACTTGATTGATGTGGCATTAATTAGCCTTAGCCACGCGCTAAGCACAACATTTTGTAAACTCTAAACTGTAATTAAAAGCATGTGCTTACATAAGATTAATTATTATGAAAGAATATGAAAGCAAGTAAATGTGGCATGTAAATTTGAAATAACATAATGCTGTTGGGTATTTAATTATTCGTATATTTCAAGAGATATCGATTCATTTGGGTGACAGCATATGAATAGCACGAATGAATGCTTGAATGAATCCAGTTCCAAAATGAGTTCGGCTTTTTTCAATCGAATGAATAACAAATGTTGCACACTTTGCGGCGTTCTCAATGCCTTTGTGTTATGCGTGTTGACTTATGCCAGAGCTGGCTTCAGCCACTCGTGTCTAGCCACTTACACCCATTCACACACCATACACACACAACAGACACACACAACAGACACACAACACACGTGTGTATTTGGTTACCTGACGCACACAAATTATTTTGTCAAGCTGCTTGAAGTCATCTTCGCCAGATAGATTTCCGCCGCTACGTGAAAATTTGATTTATTATCTTGTCGTCTATATATTGTATTTCTCTAACCAACAAGAGTGTGTGGAGAGTGGTCGACTAGAAGATACCCTGGGCATTTAAAATGCAATACAGAAAAGATATTTGACATATTAGGCCTTTAATTATTGATGATGTCTTGAAAACTGCAGCATATCGATATTTATCGTTTTGCTAATTAAAAAGGGAAAGTTATCGATCGTTTTGAGCATCTACATGCTAGACGTATATCGATAGTTATCGATCATTTTGAGCATTTAATTTTTAGCCGAACCTGGAATGTTAGTCAATTTATAGAATCATCTATGCTCAAGTCTGCCACCTTCCAACTGTCGCATACGCTTGCACTTAACCATTATACCTGCTCTGGTTTAATGTTTACAGGGTATACAAATATTTTGATATATGTACTTAGCTGTTGCCTGGTGCCAAATGATGATATGCAAAGGTTTTCCATACGGCTACATCCACGTTTTCTCATCGAAACTTTCGTCTTGCAGCCGAGGCACGTATTTCAGGTACAAAAATATTTATCCTTCAAGCACATTCGGCATCAGACATCAGACAAACGGGCGCAGATATAAATATATTGACAGCAGCAAAGCCGCCTAAATCGGTCAAGATAATGTCAAATTGGATACTTAAACGCTTGAGCTACTGCTCAAGTGTCGAGCACCTATTTTGAATGCGTAATGCGGGGTTAATTTTAGTTAGAGGATGGGATCAAAATGAGAAAAACATAATCCCTTTGGCCTTTTGCGTGTTGCCGCACATCACGAATAACACTTTAAACTTTATGACTGCGCAAATTATCACGTCTTGTTTACATATTGTTTCAAATTATTGCAATAAAAAATAACAACGAACGAACATGCATGCTCTTCTCTATTCTGCTCGCATTTAAATGAGAATATGCTTACAATCTGCTTAAGTTAGTTGAAATTTAGTAAGAGTATAAATGTTCTGTTTAGTACATTAACATTTGTATACCCTATACGACTCTGTGGCTCTCTGGCTCTCGTATGCGATACAAGAGTATAAAAAGCTGAGGGGAACTTGAAGTACATGAAAATATTGTTCGTTTTGGCCAAATTCGACATATCTAAGGTAATGCTTTGCTTAGCTTTCAATTTAAAGCCTTTAACTTTAAATCCTTTTAATCGGGCTAATTGATTTATGGACTGACTGACTGATTGATGATTAAGGCACAACATAGGCCATACGAGATAGAGCTCTAAGATGTACCTTACGTTATCAAAATGAATGCCTTCATGGGCTTTTGGCAAATTCCACCAGTAATTGTGGAAAATTGATGGAAAACATATTTTTACTAATCGTTCGATAACCTAGATGGGGTTTTAAAAGACACCACTAGCAATTCCGAAGAATTTGTGCAAATCCACCAGCTTATGTGGAAAACTCGTGGAATATAGTTGTATTTCTAATTATTTCTACTAAGCAATCCACTTCAAATTGATTAACTTTTAATCAATCTGTTTTTGCGATGTATTTCATACTTTTTTCAAATGTTGTGTGTGCAAAGTTTCGGTTTCAAACTCCTTTCATATCCTAAATGTATTGCTGTTTTTACTTACTTATAGTTTCCGATATGTCATCTTCTATGAATTATTTTCTCAGTGTAATGCTGCAATTGCAATTTATAATTCTTAGGCGCTTCTTTGTCAAGCGCAATAAGAACTGCAGTTGTTTTGAACTGAAAAAGCCAATTAAATTCAATTATTTTCTGTCTTTTTGTGCTGCCAGGTTCGAGGTAAACAATAAATTACTT